GAGACCATCGCAGATTTCGTGGCGGCCCTTCGCAAAGCCGCACGGCCATGTAATTTCCACAACGTGGAGGAAGCCCTCAGAGACCGTCTCGTCTGCGGTCTCAAAGATGAAAGGCTGCAACAGAGGCTGTTCGCCCGCACCACCCTGACCTGGGCAGTGGCCTACGAAGAGGCCGTGGCCGCGGAAGCAGCGGAGAAGTCCACGAAGGAGGTCCGCCAGCGGGTGGCAGAGCCCAGTATACACGCTCAACGAGACAGCGAGGGCGAAGACGCGGATGATGACGTCAACGCGGTTCGAGGCAAGCGGACCCCAGCGAAGACTACCAACGTCAAGCCTTGCTCCGGTTGTGGCGGGAAACACCAGCGCGACTCCTGTTGGGCTCGTGATGTCGACTGCAGAGCGTGTGGACGGCGTGGTCATCTGGCCAGAGTCTGCAGATCAGCAAAGAAGGATCCCTCAACTAACAACCGGTCAGCGCAGAGGGGCACTCCAGTCAGCACCCAAGGCAAGACCCGTTCCTCAGCATCGGAAGCAAGCTGCCAGTTGACGGCGACCTTGTCGAGCGCATCGGCCGTAAATCGCACCAGCAGCCAGGGCAAGATCACCGTGACTCCACTCCTCGACGGCCGACCCTGTACAATGGAGGTGGACTCAGGATCGTCCGTGACGGTGATTTCTGCCGCGTCCTGGCGCCAGTTGTTCCCGAACCGAAGCCGGCGGCGGCTCCAGCCTGCGGGAACCAGAGTGTCCGACTTCCAGGGCAACCGAATTCCCTTGGCCGGACGGGACTCTGTTACTGTTGAGTATAAGGGGAAATGTGTTAAACTGTCATTCCTGATTGCAGAGGGAGACCGGGTTAACCTGCTAGGGTTAGATTGGTTTGAGCCATTGGGCATTGGTATTTCTGGGATTAACAGGATGTCTGAAAATAAATGGGGCATGCTGTACGACCTGTTCCCTGATGTATTTGCCGAAGGGTTGGGGAGGTACAAGGGCCCCCCGGTTGCGTTTGACTTAGATCCGTCAGTCAAACCTATTAGGTTGAAGTATCGGAAAGTACCTGTGTCTCTCAAACATAAGGTGGAAAAAGAGATTGACAAACTAGTTGAGCAAGGGGTTTTAGAGCCAGTACCATACAGCAAATGGGAGACCCCGATCGTAACCCCTGTCAAATCAGATGGGTCCATACGACTATGCGCCGATTACAAATGTACGATTAACAAGGCGCTGCAGCAACATTCGTACCCGGTCCCGGTAATAAGCCACATTTTGGCTTCCCTGGGGGGTGGCAAGATTTTCGCCAAATTTGACCTGGCCCAGGCATACCAGCAGTTGCCTGTCACCCCGGAGGCTGCCGAGGCCCAAACAATTGTAACCCACCAAGGGGCTTTTAAAGTGAACAGGCTGCAATTCGGGGTCAACGTAGCACCTGGGATTTTTCAGGGCCTCATGGAACGTCTACTAAGGGGGGTACCTGGCACAGTGCCCTATTTTGACGACGTGCTGATTGCGGGCGGGTCTGAACAGGAACTACTGGACCGGGTTAAAGAGGTCCTCAGGCGTTTTCAAAATGCCGGTCTCAGAGTTAAGCGCTCAAAATGCACGCTCGGGGTGGAAAGTGTGGACTTCCTGGGGTTTCGCATTGACGCAGAGGGAGTCCACCCCACGGATGAGAAGGTATCTGCAATCCAAAACGCCCCCAGGCCGGTGAGTAAGAAGGAGCTCCAATCCTTTTTAGGACTCCTGAATTTTTATCATGCGTTTTTACCGCATAAGGCATCAGTGGCGGCCCCTTTGCACGCGCTTTTGCACAAGGAGGCAAAATGGAAGTGGGGGCAGGCCGAGGAAAAGGCTTTTGTGGGAGTCAAGGAGCTGCTGACATCTAATGCCGTACTCACGCATTATGATGAACACAAGCTCCTGGTGTTAGCTGCTGACGCTTCACCTTTTGGAGTAGGCGCAGTTTTAAGCCATCTGATGCCTGATGGGAGCGAAGCGCCTATCGCTTTTTATTCTAGATCACTATCTGCGGCAGAGCGGAACTATGCCCAGATAGACAAGGAGGGTCTGGCGTTGGTAGCGGCTGTCAAAAAGTTCCATGATTTTATTTTTGGCAGACGATTTTTGCTGGTCACTGACCACAAGCCGCTACTGGGGATTTTTGCGCCCGATAAGCAATTGCCAAACATCATGTCCCCACGCATGCTTAGATGGGCGATATTTTTGCAGGCTTATGATTTTGACTTAGAGCACCGGCCTGGGAAAGCGATTGGGCATGCGGATGCCCTCAGCCGGTGCCCGGTGCCGGACATTGGCGCAGACCCTGCCCCCGCCTGTGAGGTCTTGGCAATTGAGGAGCTTCCTCGACCCCCGGTATCATCCAGGGACATTGCAGCACACACGGCCAAGGATAGCGTGCTGTCCCGAGTATTAAACTGGGTTTGGAGGGGGTGGCCGGTTGGAAGCGTTGAACCGGAGTTCGGCCCTTACAAAAGCCGTCAAAATGAACTATCCATTTCTAAGGGCTGTGTATTATGGGGGAACAGGGTGGTGGTTCCTGACAAACTCAGGACGAGAGTGTTAGAGTCGCTGCACGAGGGTCACCCCGGTATGGTACACACCAAAGCGTTGGCCAGAGGGTATGTCTGGTGGCCGGGGCTGGACAAAGAGATCGAAGAATGGGTACGAGGGTGTCCCAAATGCCAGCAAGTCAGACCCGATCCCCCACAAGCTACACCCCAAGGCTGGGAGTCATCTGGTAAACCCTGGGCCAGATTGCATATAGATTTTGCTGGCCCTCTCCAAGGGCAAATGTTCCTAATTGTGGTGGACGCTATGTCCAAATGGCTGGAGGTCGTGCATATGAAATCGACCACATCACTTGCTGTGATCCATGCGCTCCGCCGACTTTTTGCCACCCACGGGTTGCCTGACGTCATCGTCAGTGACAACGGGCCTCAATTTGTGTCTGAGGAATTTAGGCTCTTCCTCATTCCCCTGATGTTGAGTGGAGACCCCCAGAGCAGGCAGTGAGTACCGAAAGGCCCGGTACTGTCCCCGAGTCAGGGCAGAACCCTGTGTGCGGGGCTGAAATCCCAGTAGAGTTTGTGCCTGAACCAGGCTGTAGTGAACCCCACAGTGACTCACAACCTTGTGTGCCTATAGAGCCTGCACCGCTTCGCAGGTCTCAGCGTACGCGGCAGATGCCGACTTATCTAAAAGACTACGAGTGTAATAAAGTATTTTGGAACAGTTGATGTACAACAGCATGACTTGAATGTATGTAAATAATAAAACAATTGGGATGATGGCTTAACTTAGGGGGGAGGAATTGTAATGTATTGAAATGATTACATGAATCACCTCATAGGACTCCCATGTTAAGCTTCGAGCCAGACCAGGGCTCCTCTGAGCGAACTTCCTATTGGTCGCTTCGTAACAGCGACCAATCAGAACGATACCATTCCCTAGGAGGGAAAGACTCCCATTGGCCCTTATCCAAGCAATCTCATTGGTTGTTATTTGTAAATAGGCGTGGCTACATTAGCCCGGTTATGTTTAAAAGGAGCATAAGCTCCCACTGTTTTCTGTTCTGGTTTCTTACTGAGTTAGTGCTTGTTCGTTACTTCTAATAAAGCTGAATCACTTGCTGAATCACTCTACGAGTCCTTTGTTAGCGCGATCTAACAGGATTATTTTCTGTACATCAAACCTAGGGCCCTTTTCAGGTTTGTAGAAAGATCTGTCTTGCTCATTCACTGCTCCAGTCACCAAATTTAAGTATTCAAAGATATCCAGAATTTGCTATTAGAGTATAAGATGACCATTGACTAGCCTTGTGTAGGTGATAAGCAGCCAACTGTTAACTACCCCTTCATCCTGGTCCTGGATAGCCATTCTGCCTCTCAAGGACGCAAGAAATAGTTCTTGTAGTTACCAGAAAGTGTAGCATATCCCCTAGTTGTCTATCTAACAGGAGACAGATGTGCATCACAGGAAGAGAAATGATGGCATTTAGGCTAGCTGTCTATATGAAGTATTAGTTATAAACCATTTTATTGACTGAATAGAGAAGCAGAATTCGTAATTAATTATCCTGAAGGATATGCAGACTAGTTGACAAGACACTGTGATTGTCTGGTGTCTCAGATATTTCTCTTTCTAACACATACACACACCCTTTACAATGGTGCACTGTTTAAGATCCTGGCAACAGCCATCTGGTTTATATATGCAGAGCACAGTTCTACCCATCTGGCTCCCTGTCAACTGTACAGCCCTCAAACCATCTCATTTACATTTTCTGAGATAAGAAAGACACTCTCTGGGACATTTAACTTGTACTGTTTGTTTAGTTGCTTCTGGAAGAGGAGCATAATGCAGAAAATCAATGACATATAATAGCAAAAAGGGATGCTGATCTATTAACTTTGAAATATATATATATATTTTTGTTATCCTTTCTGTGACTATTTGAAGTAAGCCTCACAGATTTCAGTGGAAATGTATGCACATATTGTTGAGAATGGTTACTGGTCCTGGTCTCCAAAACAGACAGCTCAATGCCCCTTACATAGTAAAATCATATAGGAAGCGCAAGCATGATGCTGAAGCTTCAAGCAAAAGGCTCCTCCAAGCACCATAAACTCTAGTGGTGACACAGAAGTGAAGATAGAGGACCACCGAGGCCGCCCCGATATTTTCGGGAAATGAACAGGATAAACATCTCATTAATTAAAAGCTAAAGTCTGATGGGAAGGAGCCTGAGCAAGCCAGCTGGCTTCGGGCTAGACTAGGAGGCCCGGTGCAAAGCTCCTCTTAGTTGCCATAGCAACACAGGGCGGGAAAAACCGCGAAGCACAAGCGAGCCTCTAGATGGCAGTCTGGAGCCATCCCTGCCCTGCTGCGGGGAGGGGGGGGGGGAAGGAACACTCTACCGCATTCATTTCATTTGCCCGGAAGTATTTGCGAGTTGGGTTACTTTTTCCGGAAGGAGAATTCCTCGATGTCCCGCGTGCAGGGGAGTTTCGTTAGGACGAGTAACGGAGATATCCCCCGCAGCCGCGTGACCTCCTCCCCGTCTTCAGTTTCCTACTTCACTGAAAAGTAGGAGAGCGGATCGCGACGCCAAGCGGGCTCTGAAGAAAAGGTGCTTCAGTATTCTTCCTGTTACCCACTTCTGTCAGTGTTCTTTAAAAAAAAAAAAAAAAGCCTCGCCTGTTAAGTGGAAATGATTCCCATGGTGCGTTTAAAAATATCGGTTGTGGACATTGTACTCTCTTGTTAGCGATTTCTCTCTGTGTGTTTGTATTTAAGGGCGACTTAAGTTTTGAAGCTAGGGGGAAGGGAATTGGGATGTATTACAGATACTCCGTTGTTGTTGCTTGTTACAGATACGTTTGAAATCCTCGATATTTCTGTTCTCGAAGCAAATGTAGTTTGGAAGCAATAACAAAATATGTTGTAGATCAAGATTAACGTGAATAAGCTGTCTCCCGTCGTATATTTTTTTCGTTTCGCTAGAAAAGATTTAAGAATGTGCTTGAGTTTTGCAGGATTGTGCCCTTTGTAAAACGGTTTCTAAAGATGTGTTTTTCTGTGGTTTTGCTTCATTTTGTTGTAATGTCTGTGATTTGTTATGGCCGCTGTTCTTTTTGTTATGGAGATAATTATCCATTTCAGTGCCTGTTAATGTTGATTAAAGGTATTAAATTTTGTCCATTGCTTGGATCTGGTAGCATTGATAATCTGTTAAAAAACAAAAACAAATAACCCTCTAGTTGTATAAGAGATAATCTCCCCCCCCCCATAACCTGTTCATTTTCTTGCCCTTTTCATATGATAATGTATTTGAACTGAATACCACAGTTGCTTCAGGTCTGTTTCCCACTGCGTACACAGAGTCAATGAACTACTCCACAAATCTCTTTTTTGTGTCCAAAATAATGATAGGAGTGGGGAGGAGAGAGATTAGTATGCAGCTGGTTTCAAGGCTGCAGTTCTCTGAACACTTGGGAGTATTCTCCCCCCCCCCCCTGTCAGTGGGCTGCATTAAAATCAGTCTGATAGCACAAAGGTGCAATTGTGTTCTGAACATTTATTTGGGGTCTTAGCCTGTTCTCTTTTCAGAACCCTCAACAAGTAATTTGTTTGAAATGTTTTCTGCTTTGCTTAAGTGTTTTGTTTTACAGGAGTGCCGTAGACACATAATCAGCCTGTGTGGGAGCTGTACGTGTTGCCAGTATGTCTGAAGTTGAAAAGGCTGTAGATGCATTCTCTGAAATGAACCTTGGTGATGCACGTAAACTGCTTGGTGAGGACAAGGAAGCCGATCCGAATGCAAGCTGTAAAGATATTGTGGTCACTATTGGAGCTACTGTACCAACTGGCTTTGAGCTGACTGCTGCAGATGAAGTGCAAGAGAAACTAGGGTCACAGTCTAGAATTAGCAAGGATCGAGGAAAAATCTATTTTGAAATTCCTGTAATCAGTCTTCCACAGGTTTGCAGCTATTATTTGACTAATATTTCATCTTCTGTAATTTATATACTTCCAGTATTCTCGGTTACACGCTTATAAATGTTCTGGATTGTAACTAATGGCATAACTGTCGCCTAGGTGTTTTTTAAAGTATATTCTTGTCCAAGGCTGGTCCTTCCAAACTTAATCAGGCTACAGCAGGAGGCCATGATCCCAGCCCCAAACTGTGGGCTGCCAACTCCTTCTTTGTCTGCACCCAATGGCAGGAGGACTGGCATTGCTGGGCCAGACAGTACATGGCTCCTATGCATCACTGAACAGCCACTTTAAGAAGCTGCAAGCTGTAGCGGAACCAAGCTATCAAACAAACGAGGAACAGGTTTGGGAAGCCTGTTTGGGCATGTGCATAATTAAGCCTGGCCCATATAAGGGGCCAAGTGGCAGGCCAGGAAGGAGGCTCCAAGTCTTCTCCAGGTTGTGGAAGAGTGACTTGGGAAGAGAGGAGGGTGAACAAGGTGGGCTTAACCCCTTCCCCCTCAACTGCTCAGGCCTTTGCTGTCCCTGGGGTCTTGATGGGAGCCATGAAGGCAGAGAGGGAGAACCAAGTAGTTGCGGACCTCCTGGATTCTCACAAGTCTTTTGAGCAAGACAGCTGTTCATAATGTAAATCATAATATTGAGGTAGAGGAGAGAGTGGGGACTGAAGAAAACAAATGGTTTTGTTTTATAATGTCCCTTCAGCACTAAATCATGCTTGATTATGATGGATGTGTCTGTATTATATATATATATACGTATATATGTACGTATATATAATTATGTGTGTATGTGTATATATGTATATATGTGTGTGTGTGTGTATATATATATATATGTGTGTGCGCAAATAGTAGTTTCAGAATGGGATCTAAGAGTTGCATTTAAAAATGCATGCTCAGATATGGGAGAAGCTTGAAGAATGTACATCTAAAACAAGTTTTCATTAGAGGCAATAAAACATTAAAAAGTGTTTCTAATTTCATTTAGGTACACCAGTTAAGATCAGTGGACAATTTATTTGTTGTAGTTCAGGAGTTCAAAGATTATCAGTTCAAAGAAACGAAGGTAAGTTATCTTTCCTGCCGAAACTTTAATTACAATATTTTGTTGAAATTAGAAAAATAGCAGTTCAGGGATTTCTAGCATGGAACATCACTCTTTAAAAAGGGGGGGGGGACCAAGGAGTTTGACATGTTGGAAAGTGGGGATTATTATGTTTATATTAAAATGTTTATTTTCCTAAAACAGTGCTAAAAACTTTCTTGTAGAATTGGTCTCCAGTATCAAGTTTTACTGTTTATCTCAGCATTTGAATTAAGGATGATTCTTTTACTGCAAAAACTTTATCTAATTTGGTTGTGCTGCACTTATATTCTGTGCTGTTTCATGTTCATATTTGACAAGTCCTGTTATATTTCCTTAGTAACTCTGTTTATGGTCAAATGTCTGAGTACTATATAAACCATTGTACACGTGTACCACTCTGCCCCCTTCATGCATTTGAAAATGTTAACAGTTTGCTTATGAAAGTTTATACCACAATATATCAAACCATACTGAAAAAAATCCACAAGATTCTTTTTCATCCCTGCATACCCTCTGTGCCATATGACAAGGTGCTTTTTAATCTTTTGAAAACTTCAGTAACACTTAGGGTTTATCAGTCGCCTGGAGACACAAATGTGTCCCTTTAATAAAAGCTTAATGGAGTGTTATTTAACTGGTAATGTTGTTCTGTTTCTGTTCTGAAAATCAGCAACATTTATGAATGGCTTTATTAATACATGAGTTTTATGGGAGGTTTCTTTTGATCTGTTACAGGAAGAAGCTCTAAAGGATTTAGAAGATCTGGCTAAGAAACTGCCTTGGAGTGACCCTTTGCAAGTATGGAAACTAAATACAAGCCTTAAGAAAAAGAAAACGAGACAGAAAAAAGGCAATCAACAGAGTAATACAAAGAAACAGAAACTGGAGGGTGACGTGAAAGGAGAGCGAACTGTGAAAGGGTTCCATGAGCCTCTGGAAAATATTTCAGGCATGGTGTCTGCTGAAATTCAGGATCCACAAAAAGCTGATGAAATGGTACCACCAAACGAAGATGAACAGTCTGATTTTAAAGAAGAGGGAGCATCCAATGATGAAAACGCATCTGGTGACTGCAAGAAGAGTGATATGGAAGGTCAGGTGCTAAAGTTCCGGGTGACATGTAACAGAGCTGGTGGTAATCACAGCTTTACATCAAATGAGGCAGCAAGGGATTTTGGAGGAGCTGTGCAAGATTTTTTCCAGTGGAAAGCAGACATGACCAATTTTGATGTGGAGGTACAGCACAGCTGTGTGTGTTTTTTAAGTCCGTGTGTGTGTGGCAGTAAGAAAGAGTGAAAATATGATGCATTTTAGACTTTAATTTTTACAAACACTCCTGTACTGAGAACCTGTTTCAGCAAGAGGCATGAAATGGAGATGGCAAATATGGAAGTGGCTGAGACCACTGGTGGTGATTGCTGCCCTGACTCAGGTCTTCTTTATCTAATGTAACCTGATTGGCACTCTGATTACGCTACTCATCAGCTAAGATTTTGGTTTGGGATCGCTAATAATTAAATGCTGTCTAGTTGTCCCCAGTTTCCCCTGGTGCATGTTACAAGATGTATGGATCGGTGCTTTTCTTGTCACTTTATTGTACACTGTAGTCTGCAGAGAAAAACAAAATACTGCTTTAAAAACGTGATTGGGCATTGGCCCACAAGAACAGATGTCTTTTCAGAATTGTTTGTTTTATTATTCTACCTTCAGCGTACTTCACAGGGTAAAAATTGGTGGGTGGGCAGTGGCTTCTTCATTTTAGTGAAGGATTTTGAGACATTTTCTTTTGAATACACAGGAAGATGGATGAGATGTTGGTTCTGCTATCTCCCTTTATGTTAGTTATCATACAGTTGTCAGAAGGGACAGGCATGGACAATCTAGAAATTAGAGTTTACAGATCAGCTAGATCTCAGTCAGTATGCAAGAGTACCTGAAGGACAAGTTTTCATTTCATGAATTAAGGGGAAGGGCTTATGGAAACTTTAGAAACTGAAGAGGGTAAACTTGGAATTCCTGTTCGTAGGTGCTGCAGTGCTTAGGGTGAAGTATATTGTTCTGTGGATTTCCCTATAGGTTCTTCTGAACATTCACAATAATGAAGTCGTAGTGGGGATTGCCTTAACAGAGGAGAGTCTTCACAGAAGAAATATTACACATTTTGGTCCCACAACCCTTCGATCTACTCTAGCATATGGTATGCTCAGGTAAGTGTGAAGATTTATTTGGGAATCTTAACAGATGAAGGTCCCTCAAATATGCACTATACCCTAAATGTGTTTGTGTATATTCTGCTGCTTGGTGCCAAACACTGGGTATCTGAAGATCCTGTCAATGTGTCTTGAACTGGGCAACTGAGGGAGCAATCCTAAGCAGTCTACCAGAAGTAAGTTCCATTTTACTCACTGGGGCTTAGGATTGCCGCCTGAGTGTGCTCCAGTGGGTTACACAGTGTGGAATTCCTTCTAATCTTAAGTACAAGAAAAATATTTATTCTGTAGGTTTTTAGTATGGACAAAGACTATAACTTGCGAGAAGTGTATTATAAAGTTGTACTAATAATTTATTCTGATCATTAAAAGTCTGTTTTATTTTAACTCAAACATATTTTTGAAGGGATCTTAATATCACTGTTTGGTGTTGAGTTGCAGTGATGGCAGTGAAATTCAAAGGTGGTTGTTTAAAAATATCTTGTTATTTCTAAGGCATGGCACTACTGTAATTGTCTATGTTTGCTGTTGGTTTCATTTATTATACAAACATTGGTAAATTGATAATGTTTTCTTTTTCCACGCTGATTTTCCTTCATTCAAATTTGTTTTTAGGCTTTGTGATCCTCAGCCAGCTGATATAATAATTGATCCAATGTGTGGAACAGGTGCCATACCAATAGAGGTACTGTTGCATTTTGAAAGCTGAAGTAGCTAGCAACTCACAGAATAGTGCATGTCTTGGTAACACTTACCACTTTCTCAGTTTAAAGTGTCATCTATTGTCATATCATTTGTATTGGCCACCTAGGCTTCCAATCCACTAATCTACATATTGTAGCCTGCTGTCACAACCTACAAATTTTTTTGGCATGTTGTTTGTGACGTAGTGTTTTTGGTCAGGTGAAAAATAAGTGTGTAGATTCTCTATACTGTGTTAGACATATACTGTAGCCAGTTGTGTTAACCATTCCCAGGGTAATAGGATTTATAAATTGCTATATATAATATTAATCCAGTGTTGCAGTTAACTGTTCAGGCATCTTATGTGTCCCCTTACAGATCCTTATAACACCCTATAAGGAGGGCCAGTTGTAGTGTTACATCTAAAGGTGATGAGGTCAGGAAATGTGGTTTGCCAGAGGCCATCGTGGTAATTTAGCTACTTTGTATATCCTGAATATTTTGGTTGACATAACGCGGGTAGCTGACTTCATCAGCTGTCAGTTTAGAATTTTTTCTGTAATACTTGTGACTGTTTGGCTCACATGGCATTAAAAAAAGACAGAGTGGGGTGTCCTGAGGAAGGATCAGACATCTCTGCTTGCTGCTGTGAATCAGGATAGGGATTGTGCTGGAACTGTGGGGTGCCAAAAATGAAGGGAAGAAAGCACTAGGGGTGTGCATTCGGGTCTACCTGAACCATAAATATACTTTAAAAAAACTTACTGTTTTTTTCCCCAGATATATATCAGCATCCCAAATATATCCAGGATTTTTCAGGAGAACCCCCCCCCCCAAAAAAAAAAATCTCAAAAAAATCCAGATATATTGGGAAATTACCTGCAAACCAAAACAATATCTGAGGGGCTGGAACAGATTGCTCCCCCTGCTCAGCTGTTTTGGGGTTTTCTTCTGCAGTCCCTTTAAATGGGGTGTTTAAAGGAACTGCAGAAGACAGCCTGCAAAACAGCTGGGGGGGGGCACTCTCCCTGCTGGCTCAGCTGGGCTGTTTTGGGCTGTTCAACTTAACTGCTGAAGAGAGCCCCAGCAGAGCCTGCAAGGAGAGTTCTCCTTGCAGGATCAACTGCTTTGTGGACTCTCTTGGGCAGACCGGTTTAAACCAGGCTGTCCTGCAGAGCCCCAGACCAGCCTGCAGGGAGAGTTCTCCCTTCAGGATCAGCTGCTTGGTGGAGTCCCTTGGGCAGTCCAGGTTAAAGTGGGCTGCCCAGCAGACCCTGTGGGGAGAGTTCTTTCCACAGGATCGGCTCCTTGGCAGGCTCTGTTGGGCAGTTCAGTTAAAACGGGGCTACCCAGCAGAGCCACAGCCTGGCCAGCCTGCGAAGAAACTTCTTCCTGCAGGATTGGCTGCTTGGCAAGCTGTGTTGGGCAGTCCAGTTTAAAGCAGGCTGCACAGCAGAGCCTGCAGTTAGAGTTCTCCCCACAGGCTTGGCGCCTTGGCGCGTTCAGTTTAAAGGGACTGCCCAAAAAAGCCTCAGCTGTTTTTTGCGGCTTTGCTGGAGCTTTTTTTTTTCTCAGTGTATTTTTCAGTTCGGTTCTATTGAACCCGAAAAAAATTGGGATTTCCAAAAAATCCCAGATTTGAATACTTTACCAATTTTGAGATCCAGGGTGTTTTTTTGGGGGGGGTTGGGGGGGGTGTCCAATAGACCCCAACCAAAAAATACTGAGGAAAAAATTGCTCACCCCTGTAAAGCACGCTCTCCTCCTGGCCTATCTCAGATCTCATTTTGCAGTCTGTTCCTAAGAATAGATGAATACAAGAGGGGGACCCGCGATACTCGCGGGGGGGAAGAGAAGAGCTCCGTCTCCTCCATCCCCCCCCCGCTCGATCTCCCCGCGGCGGCGGCGAGGCCGGTGTCCCGTCCCCCCCCCGC